GACATTCTAATTAATTGAGATGCACCTGTATATATATATATATATATATATATATATATATATATCACCAGCCGATCAGAATGCATCCTGCTTTTAATAAACAACATTATGGTGTGTTGCCGTGGACGCTAATATAGTTATCGATTTTAGTGTGAACAGGCCCTTACTGTTCGCTCTCACACATCAGGGATAAATCCTTGATAATTTCACACCACTATCAACCCTCTACGGACACCTTGGCAATTGAATCGCCATTGGCTAGTAATTTTTTTAGTTTACTCGCCAGACTGAGCTTTTTAAATATCTGAAAGTACACTCTTAACATCAGTCAGTCAAGCATTATAATACGATATTATGATAATTAGTGGTGCAACGGATCACAAAACTCACGGTTCGGATCATATACGGATTTTGAGTCACGGATCGGATCATTTTTCGGATCAGCAAAAAAAAAAAAAAAAAAAAAAATAGCTTACTTTAAGTACTTCTATACCACAGCAAAAACTACTAGCTTAACTAATAAAGTTAGTAATAAAACAAGAACAATTACAAGCAAGTTACAAATATCAGTATTTAGGTGCATAAATGTAATAATTAAGTTTAACACTATAGTGCTCACTGCAAAAGTTAAATACAGATTAATCTTTTTTAGAGCTGTGGTGTTATTTGATTAGCAGACAGAAACCGGTATTTATTGGCTGCTGTCTCTTTAAGACCAAATGCAAGGACCTACTGACACACATCCGGTTTCTTTCTCACCTGTTTACATTAACTTAAGACATAACCGACTGTGTTTACTAGAACACTTGCCAAAGCGGATATTTTAACATAACTTTGTGTATGTGAAAGAGGAATCACGCTGTGTCGGAATCGCGCCTCTCTCTCTCTGCGTGTGCACGCGCGGCTGAGCGCACAGAAAAAAGCGCGCAAGTTAAAACTGCTTGAATGTGTAAACTGGTAAGACAAAACATGTGCAAATGGTAAACTTTCACTCTATGATGGTTAAACTTAACAGTTAATCCGCGAATCACATGCGTACCGAACTGTGGGGTCTGGTCCGTACGGATCTCGGATCATCTACGATCCGTTGCACCCCTAATGATAATCAAGTATTATTTAATGATAGATCTTTAGAATTAAAATTTGGTAAACATGTATGAATGCATAGACATTTTAACTGAATTTAGGACTGGTGGTGGTGATTTTTTGGTCATTCAGTGTTTATGTAAAAAAAAAAAAAAGAGGAAAAAACTAAGAATAATGCTGATAAGATGATAATAATAATAATAATAATACGAATTCTACTAATAAGAACAGTATAAAACGCTTAAGGAGCTGCTGGATTCATGAATATGAATCAGGTTTTGTGCGTTCGCTCGAACTGATTTGCTGAAATCAAAACAGGGACGATAATAGGTGAGCACCAGCCAATGAGATTGTCGTTTGCTCATTAGTTCCGCCCACTACCGGAGAAAGCGGCAGTTCTTAAAAGCTGAAAAAATCCAAAGTAACTCCGTTATTTTGACAGGAAAATACAACAAAGAATATTACATGTAGCGCGTCAATTCTGCATGTATGTAAGAGTGGACTATCTCGCTCTCTCTGCTCTCAACCAAAGTGATGGCGAGTTGTGCGCCGTTACGCTAGAGTTCACGGTACGTCAAATACAGGTGCGACGCGCATCCATTGAGATGAACTGAGAAATATCACAGATCGCTTGACTCTGAAGCTCTCAGTCTGACTGTTTGGCGAGTGAAAATATATGTGCTAAACTTAGACTTAGCATCCCACTCACACATTGGCGAGTAAAATCTAAGAATTTATTAGCCATTGGCTAATATTAGACATCATTTAGTCGCCCAGAGTGAAGATTTAGTCGCATATGCGAGTGATTTACTCGCAATGTAGAGGGTTGACTATGTGTGTCTATTTGTAAAGATCACGACTTTGCATAAGGCAGCAACTATAAATGTGTGTCTGTATGGGTGTGCAGAGGAGATATGATGTGTAAATAAATGGGTGAAGCCCTAACAGTGGATCATCTTACACACTGTGGATTAGCAGGCAGGCGGGCCAAAGCCATCAGATCCCATTGTAAGTACCTCTGCAGTGGGTCCACTCTGCCTGGGTCAATATTTGGAATGGCAGAGATAGTTGGGCTACATTAGCAGGATTAGGGTGGGACGGCCCCTGGCAGCGCTGCACCTCAGAAGAGGAAAACGGGGGTAGTGTGTGTGTGTGTGTGTGTGTGTGTGTACAGGTTTATAGTTGGGCTGCATTAGCAGGATTAGGGTGGGACGGCCCCTGGCAGCGCTGCACCTCAGAAGAGGAAAACGGGGGTAGTGTGTGTGTGTGTGTGTGTGTGTGTGTGTCACTGCTGAAAATCAACAATTCAACCATCCTGTTTGGAAAGAACTCAAGCATTTATGGTGACAGATCCTGCTGTGTGATGTGTGAGAGAGAACAGACAGGGCTCATACAAGCACAACACAAAGTTTTATCAAAAAGTCATTTGTCTGCCCACACCGAAAGTGAAAGTGCAACATGACGTGACACCAGTGTTGTTATTGTTAACTAAAACAATTATTATTAATTGAAATAAATATCAAATGAATATTCAAATGAAATAAAATATAAATATTAGACATAAATGAAAACTTGAACCTAAACAAAAATTAGAAATGCTTCCTTGGCAACTAACTAAAATAAATTTGAAGTACTAAAAAGTAAAGTTTGAAGTACTAAAACTACTCAAACTGAAAGAAATGAAAACTAAAACTATTAGTAGTTGAATTAATATTAACAGAAATAAAGTTAAATGGAAATGAAA